CGGGTCTACACTGGATATGGGGCGTGGTTGGAGCTGTGGGTGGTGCAGCGCAAGCGACCCATGGTCCCTCTATAGGCGCAGGCGTCCTGTGGCTGGCCACAGTGACAGACAAATCCGAAACCGGATGTCGCCAACCATATATATATATATATATATATATATATATATATATATATATATATATATATATATTCTATGCAGCGGTGTGCTCAAGGCGGAGAACATGAAGCCCAGCACATTTAAAGACCACCTCGGACGAGCTCCTTCTCAGTTAGTAGGAAAAGCTCTTACATTATTCCACCGGAAAGGTGCTAATTTTTTCAGTCAACTGAAGTTGTTCTTGAAGCGTTGTACTTCATCGCTCTTCGTATCGCCATAAACGAGAAACCGCATACTATAGGAGAGGTTCTTATTAAATTTTGCACAATGAATGCCATGAAGCTCGTTCTTGGAGGCTAACATGCGGAAAAGATGTGTGATATCACTTTCTAACAACTCGTATCGAGGGCATGGGCAAGAATACTTTGAACATGGTGCTCAACAAAATAAAGTCAAATCCTTTCTTCGCAATACAGTTACATGAGTCGACCGACGTCGCATCTTGTTTCGAGCTACTTGTTTATGTTCGGGGCATATAAAGCGATGGCTTCAAATAAAGTATTTGTTCGCACAATTACTGAGCACCACTTCATGACTTGCGATGTGCATTAGATGATTCTGCTCAACCACCTCGTCACTCAGGTCTTTGATTAAACGTGGTTGGAGATCAATATGGATGCCGTTCTAACATCAGCACGATAGATATGGTGTTCATGGCTTGTCAATTGCAGGAGAAGCGTTGTGAGGGAACCCATCCATTGTGCACGCTGTTTGTAAATTGGCCCATGGCCTTAAAGATCATGAGCAGGCCTTGCAATCCGAGGGCGCGGGGACATGGCGACACTCACAGTATCCTTAGCCCACGTGCAACTGGTAGTGATTGTGCAGCAGTGAAGCGTCTGTACTGCGTATCAGCGTATTACCGATGCTGATGCCTGTTTGTAAACTTTACTGAGGCATTTGATACTGTGAACCGCGAGACACTGTAGCTGGTGGATATGTTTGGTGGCTCTAGTATGTTAGTAAGTCCGATTGTATACCTGCACATTGGTATGCGCGCGAGGTTGCAGCCTTGTGGGAAATTCTCGGATGATTAGTGTTGTCTTCCTCTTACTGTTGTTTGCACACAGTAGGATGAGTTGCAGCATATGACGTACGTTGTCGCTTCGAGGGTGGCCAAGTTCGGACTCACCATCAATATGGGAAAAATTGTCTTCTTTCCCAGTCGTCTCTAGGAATGGATTCCATGTGCTGCCTGTTAATTAAGGCCGCAGAGGTAAATTTGCAGACGTTAACTAATTACTGCTACCTCGCTGTCAACAGATATTCAGATGATGAGCGAGCTACGCACTAGCATTGGGGATTTCCAGCTTGTCGAATTTATGCTCTTCATCATTGTTGTTGCGTTATCGACCGGTCCCACGTGTCATCGCATAGCGTAAATCTACCAAATGGCTCCTTCCATACGCTGGTACAGTCAAGCCTGACCAAAGCGACTACTCAAGGGGCTTACAAAAGTGGTCGCCATGGTCAGGTCTATGCCTAGGCGACACTCATGATCGACTCCACATGTGTGCTAAACTTTCAAATCGCGAACTAGATGTGTAAACCGACAGCTTCTATAATCAGTTTTGACTTCTAATTAAGGAAACAACGGTAGTAGTAGGATATCTGAGTAATAAGAATGCAATAAAGTTACAGTTTATGGGTCAACATTTTATAAACCTGACCTGCAGAACATCGAAATCCACAAGCTTTGGAAAAATCGTGCACATACATTTCTATTATCATAGTCATTTTCCACCAAATGAAAAAAACAAAGTATAGTGGTCTGTTGTTTGGCAGTTGAAATGAAAGATGAATTTAATTTTTCCCTCAAGTTCATGATAAGTTCAAGCATGTCAGTGTGTCTGCTATGTATTGCGTAGGAGCGCAAAATATTAACAGCACCCTGTGCGTCTGTGAATGTATACATTTTCAGAATGTCTGTAGAATCCTGTTCCTTCTAGCCGTCTGATTCACTATCCACATCCTCAGCTGATAAAATTGTTGTCTTAGGCAGGTCACAGTGATAAGAATCAGAGATAAGAATCAGCCATATGGCTGTCAGCCAGTTGGTATCCAAACAATTCCTTTGAAAGAGTATCCAAAGCAATAGAGGTTGAAGGGGGTACAATTTGCTCATATGTCTCAGGTCCAGTTTGCATTGCTCTCTCAGAATCTATTACTGTAGGACAAGGAAACCCCGCTTTACAAAAACACTTAGAGATTGTTGAGTTCTCCACCTCCTTCCATGCGGCAGCTATCCAGAACACGACGTCCAATAAATTTACTCGTTTCATGAGTTCAGTTCCGGACATATCTTTGTGGGATTCCATGATCGTAATAAGATTCAGAAGGTAATTTTTCCTAAACTTTAATTTAAGCGACTGCACGCAGGCGGGGCCTTTAAACTGGCCGTACCGTTTTCACTGAACATCATTTTTACAATATCGCTATGGATACATTAGTTTGCTCGGAATGCTTCAACATTGACATTTGTCAAATCATTTCCTTAGTCAACACTGCTGTCCTTTGCCTAATTTTTGAGCAAAAACTCGATACTGCGCACCTGAAATGGACCGACTTTATTGGAAATCTAACTTGCAACGCCGGCTTCCCAACAGAATACAGCTTTAAACTATTCTATCCGGAAATGTTTAATTGTTGCTCGTTCACATTTACCGTTTACTCAGCTGACACCTGTACACAGTCTGCTTTTTCCATTCATACAGATTTAAAGTTCGGATTATGTAATTTTAGCCCATCTGTAGTGCAGATTGTAAAGTACAGAAAATGTACCCATATGCATACGTAAAGCTTATTTTGACTTGAATAACGCCCTGGTCGAAGAACTGAATTAACGCAGTGGTTCTGGATAGCAGGAACTGCAATTTGACACTAAGTAGCTGGAATTCGGGATGGCAAGTGGCATTGTCAACAAACTGTATGATGCGCTTTTTTCTCCATTTTCCGTCAAAACTTTAAAGTCATTCTTCGAAAATAACTGCAGTCATTATTTCTTGTTTTTTTCTGTTGATGTTTCTAAAAATTCGGGGGTTGGCTGATTTCCCGATCACTAAAGCCGGTTCTCGTTCCCCCCAGCATATTAGTGCACGGTATAACTGTGATACGCCCTTCGCTTCTTTTCCCACCTGCTCACTTCTCTCCTTTGACAAAAACGTTTTTTCCGACATTACTTTTAATAATTAAGCAGTTTCAACTAAATTAAAAATATCTTGAGCCGTGTAGCCAGAACATATTTTGGGGTACTTTTGCTGTCCAGTCGGATGCAGCTCACACATCTGAGTCACCGCATTCGCCCGATTACTTACCAAACACAAGGTTGTGCCTGCTGATGAAAGCCTGCAGCCAACCGTTTGACGCTTTAGTCTGGGTTCTGCAATTCTTTTGCGAAGTGCAATGCTCGTTCTTGCGTCATGCGTCTAGATAATGGGATTTTTCTCGCAAGTACGGACTGGCGCCATTTCTAGCAAAATGCGTTTTTGTCTTCCTTACCCCTATTTTCTACTTTCCTTTGTTTTCAGTCTTGGTGCGTTGTTCACAAAGTCATTCAAAAACTCCGCTTTCCTCCTTAAAGTTAAAAGAATGTGTCTTTCCTACTTCGAAATGTTCCGTCAATGTTCGCGAACTTTTTATTTCTTGACTATCGAAGCACTGAGATTCTTTCCTCAAGTGTTAACGCCTTTTGTTTTGCTGATTTGGAACTAACCATTTTGTCCATCGTAAGAATCTTCATAAAGAACCATAAAAGCGAGCATGAATATTCAGTAAGGATGTGCCTCAACAGTACCCGCTCAGTGCCGAACACCGACTGGTTCCACAGTAAACCAATACACACAGCAAGTGATAGTCACAGTATTTGCGACTGGACAGCATCACAAAACCCAGAATGCGCGAGGTGCGTCCCACAGCTCTTTTGTTGTTGGTTCACTGCATAGTCCACAGGGTGATGTCCAGGGGGGGGGGTAATATGTCACTGGACAAGTCTGGTGTGAAGGCAGTGTGACCCCTGGGATGAGAATAAACCAGTGATATGGGGGAGGGTATGGGGGGGGAGTTACGCAACATGAACTGGTCAGTTGCGATACCGAGGGTATTAAAAAGCCTATGGCGAATCGAATAAGGAGACAGAATGCGTAGACCTTGGCAATAATGAATCCGTGCAGAGCATATATTGTGGCTTCTGGGGCAAGTATGACAGTTTGAAACGAAATGTAAGCTACTTGTGCGAAATAGTGGCAGGCTTTTATGACACCTCTACTCACAATCTCGGCCAGTCGTGCTAGTGGCGGTCGCCTTGAGCAGGTGTTAGAACGTCTGGGGACCACAAAAGCCCGGTCGCGGTTGCGTTAGACAGGTGGACGCCATAGGCAGGTTAAGCCCAATGGGAAAATATAGGAAATTGTTGAGCATATTTTTGACTGGTCGCCATTGGCAGGTGGTCGCCATGGCAGGTTGAACTGTATATGCATAATTCTGACGTATAACGATCGTCGTATCCGACAATGACACGCTGTATACTCCGATTCTTTCCCGAACATCATTTAGATAGCCAGGACTCTCAAGGTTGTCTAGTGTACCTGATTTGAACAACCGATTTGCTTCTCCGGGTTGATTTCGTCGTCTAATCTGTGCTTTTCTATGTCCTGACCTCTGCCTTCGTCTGTTTTTTTGACACAGAGGACGTCGCTTGCCTCTAGTCAACCTTCTTTCGATGCTGACAGTACAGCCACTATTAGTAGGTTTGTCATCAACGTCCGTTTGTGTGTCGTACGTGACTCCTACCATGCCTGGTTCGGTTATTAATAACATTCAGTTTCCCTTTTGTTCTCACACAGTGGCAGTTGGACAGCCAATCTTAATGAGTCCACAACCACATGCCACTGGGGGCGGATCCCCTCTCGTCTCATCATGACCTCCCTAACCAAGTCTAACATCGTGACGTTGCAAGCATTCCTGACACAACTGGTGGAGTTCTTTGGCCCCTCTGGAACTCAAGCTCAAATATTCAATCTCTTCCAATCCAACGGCTATGGCGATCCAGAGCAAGCAGATCAGACATACAATTTGATGTTCTCAGATTTCACACAAAACATTTATGTCCCCCCGGAACAGGAGATCTCCACCTTTTATCGATGGATTAGTAAGCAGATCTTCTGTATAATGAAAAGCTTATTAATCCTGCGTCAGTTAACTCCTGAACTAGAAGGCATACAAACCCTAAATCGACCTTATTTGCTTACTAAGTTGTTCCCTTATTGGAAATCTCAGTTTCTGCGCCATACCATACACTAGGATCTCATCAATACCTTCTTACGAATAACCCGGAACAAAGGAACTAGCACTGTAGTTCGTATTCGACGACTTTTGAGCATTCAACTATGGCGGCATCATAGTCGAGCTGTGGCATACGTACTTGTTACTTGTGCGCTATTTGCCTAACCTGGAGAGTCCCGATGCCTTACTGCTGCACAGCTAGGAACTTCTGAACGTGCTGGTCAGACATCACCAGCAGGAATGAACCGTTTTGCGCAGTAAATTTCACAGAGTGTTGTGATGATTTGCATGGGAGCAGAAACCCATGTCCTTCCATACGGACGGAATGTCAGGAAGGACATGAATATGTTAGTCATGAAGATTAAGCAGAAAAGGACAAATTACCGAATCGATAAAATCTGCCCGACATAATACGGCATAATGCTAGCTTCTTGTGTTTTCGGAAAATGACGTATATGCTTGACAGTCCACCTGGTTCCCTAACTGGCCTCTTCCTGCTTTCCTGAGAGACTTATTCATGATTGAGGATAGTGAACGATATTTAATAACACTACGCACACCCTATTGGAATTCTGTACATGCATCTAAACTAATGAATATTCTCCAAATTCACCAAAATATGCTTACAAACTGTTTACCATTGTGGAGATCTGTAGTTAAGAACGAGTATGTTCCCAAATATCCACGGATCTCCTCTCGTATACTTAAAAGTCTTAACAACTGTAAACTTTTTATCCACATTTACTCTGCGCCTGTTCGGGATTGAAACCAGTTTACACAGGCTAGGGATTAGGTTCTTCCTTTCCCAGGAAAGTGATTCTTATTTAAATATGATGTGTGCATCATGGTTTCAGCACCATAATCCGCTTCAGATGCAGGCATCTTCTTGCAATTACCATAGATTGTTACTGTTTCTTCACCAGCACATTTTTTCCTTTTTTCCTCATCCACAAACAGCACCTGAATTCATGGAGGAGGTGCAGAAGTTAGAACAATGTCCACTGCCCACTATGAGCTGGTGTGTTATCGACCAGTTCGAGATGACAAAATGTGAGCGGATGAGTAGCGCGTTCGCCGCCAAACGCATCCAACCGGATTTAACATGTATTCAAGCCGACTCCACCATCGATTGCATGAGACTCATACAGGATGGGTATGCGGACATGATCACCCTGGAGGCCGGTGACTTGTACACAGCGGGAAAGTATTTCAATTTGGTTCCGATAGTGGCTGAGTAAGTTGGCTTCTGTTCAGGTGACCTCTAACGACTCAGGTGGTTGTGCGTGACAAATATTCGCATGCAGTAAAGTGTACGTTTATTTCTAGGGAGCTTTATTCCCAGCCACTTTAGAAATGAGCGGCACCGGAAACGTTTCCAACACACCTCACCGTGCCACATTTATTGGAAAAGGGCAATTCAATTACGAGACTAAACCGTTTCAGATTGCGCAGCCAATATGGACAGCACGTGTGCGATTTCTCTTAATTTGTATACGTATATTGCTCGAATGTTTGTGGCAGTCTCTGAACTAGGGACAGACCATTAGTACAGTCATGATCATGCTCATGCATAAGTGCGAAATGGATTCAGTAGCGTTCATGTTATTAAGGTATTCCGAAATATGTGGGTTGTTTATGCCGAGTTTTGTGCAATAACTATTCCCACTGGCTACATATTCCTTAGTTCATCTTGAAAGAATTACTTTGATCAGTTTTCCGATAAAAATATAGCCATTATCGCGTTCTGATGCAGGAAATTTCCAAATTTAATGCGGAATGTTCTTTCAGTTGCACAAGACCTGGTAATGACTGGTAGACTATACCCCAGGACAGCGTATCTGATGAGGAAGTACTTAGCTCGAATAGCTGTCGTGGCTCTTCGCCCAGTTATTTTACAAGTCTTGTTGCGAATCGTCCGAGTGAAGTTGCGTTATAGTTCTAATGTAAGACGAGTTTTCTCGTTGGTGAGATTGTGCATGAACATCAAGGTATGTTTCAGTCACCGTAATCAGTACTCTCGAAGTGAGGCTGTTGCTAACGCTCCTGATAGTTCGAGGTGGACACTTTACTGAACAAACGTTCAGTGGATGATCTGCGCAGCTTTTCCAGAGCTTTTCTGTCATCCATCCGCATGTTTTCATAAATGATGCTGCAGTATTCATGGATGGGAAGGGCAGGTACTTTGCAATGATTGATTCTGGTAGATTGCATGTATTTTATGGCATATGATAGCCACAGATCGTTTGGCGCATGCTATTTGATGCCCAGCCTGCTCTGATAAGTTAACTTTAATGGGCACCGTATTCCTAGATCACAGTTATAAAGTTTCACGCAGATGCGCTCATTATGCAGTTTAACTGACTCCTCAGGGACCAACCATCCGGAAGGCATGATGCTTGGTTTACCAGCTGAGAACTTGATCAGCGCTTAGTTACACCGTTTCTCCAGTGTGTCCCTCCTCTTGAACTAGCAACACTATACTATGTAGTTCTGCTCGCCGAAACTTATAAATCATCTTAATGTCCTCGGCGAATAGAAATGGTCTGCCATGTTTGATGATCATCTTGATGTCGTTAATTTAAAGTTGGTAAAGGGAAGGATCAAATACGCTCCCTTGGATGACACCACTATCGATCGGACGTACGGAAGAATAATGATCACTCAGTGTGACTATCTGATAACGCCCATTTCGGTATGATGTCAACCAACGCAGTAGTGGGTCTGTGATCCTAAATGACTCGATTTTTTTTAGAGTTACCACTTGTGGGGAATCTGGTCGAATGCCTTTCACATATCAAGGAATAAAATTGTGGTTGCATAACTGCAGTCAATGGATTCTGCGATGTAATCGGAGTGTTGCACCTGATAAGTTGCACAGTAACATTTAGCGAGGAATCTTTATCGCGATTGATAAAGCTCATCCTTTCACTATCACTTAATTAAGCAAGCAATTGTGGTAGTGTGATGGATAGGCGGATAATTAGTGACATCCTGTTTGGGCCCCTTATGACGAGGGGTAATAAACGATGTTTTCCGCTGATCCGGAAAATGGCCAGATTCCAACGACAACGTGAAACTGTTCAGAAAAAGTAGCGGTATCTCAGGTCCCCCGAATTTAATGACGGATGGGGAATGCCATCGGAATCCAGTTTGAGCGATGGTTTGGCAGACTTCATAACTTGTTGGGTGGTCGAAAGAAAAGCCACGACAGTGTATATGACGCTTGCTGTCGTGACTTCCAGGCAAGAAGGTAAGGGATCAGTTTCGGGTTTCATGGAGACAGCGGAAAAAGAACTAAACGCTTCACACATAGCGGGTGAGTCGTTAAAGTTGTAAGAACCCGTGGCAGGCGGTAGACGCCTTGAACCGTCGCATCGCCTCCTGGCGGTCCGCTGGCGTGTCCAGGCCAGAGAGTAACGCTTCCTTCGCGGCGGTCCACTCCAACTTGACCGGACCTCTTCGCGCCGCCTCCAGAACCGCCTTCGCCCTGCCCTTGAGGAGACTCCGCAGGGCCGCCATCTTCGCCCGGTCCGTCTTCAGTCCTACCGCATCTGCCACCTCCTCGAAATCCTCCAAAAACACCTTCACATCCCCGTCTTCAAATGGCTCCGGCCAGGGGATCTTCATGGGTTTTGAGGTCACGGCACCAAATGTAAGAACCCGTGGCAGGCGGTAATTGTTTATTACTAAAGTGGTTTATACTAGGTGTGTTCGTTCATACATTGGATGCGTCCGCTCATCTGCGTGATTTCCATACAGTTACTTTGGAGGCATCCGCTCCGCTCATCCGTGATTTCCATAGAGTGTTTCCCAACTGGTGCTCCTCTCTGTGTTTACTCCTCGTGCACATGGAACTGGAATCCTGAGGTCATCTTCAACTTTGGGGAAGTCGGCAAGGCTCGCTGTTGGTGTGTCAGCTTGCATCACACTACTTATATCCGTTTCAGTAGTATCTACCTTCAATCCACCACAAAGTGATGACCCTCCTCATCAATCAGTCTCGTGATCGAAGACTCCCTATAGTTACTTCGACGACGGTGTAACTTTCTCAGTTCCTTTCTTTTGCGTACCATACTTTTTAATCTGCATCACTTGTGAACGCTTGATACAGGCGATGGATTCATGCACTTGTGTAAGTAATGAAGAGTCATTTTTAAGTTAGCAAACAGTTTCTTTAGAAGAGTAGGAGTTACTGCGAACAGATCTCTTTTCGATAATTCTCCTCAGGCATTTACACTTATGAGAAAACTTGATACAACATGAGAAGCTATCTAAAGCTGCAGTAGTGAATGGTTAGGTCACAGTTCAAAGGAAGGTCAACGAGACAATCGATGGATCAATCAATGCAATCAGGAGGTAAACCTCGCGCTTCACACCTCAAACACTAAATGGCAAACAAAACAGGAAAGAAATGGTTGGTTTGGCGGCAAAACTCACAGTTAGTCCTGAACATGGGTAGGTACGGACGGCGTCAATCGTTCCGGCCAAGGCAGCATGAGCGCTTGTACAAGCGTCCTCTGCTTACATAACGGTTGTAGCAGCGTAATAGCTATTGCTTCCGAAGTAGCCAACAGGCGCTTCCAGAGTCCCTTTGCGTTGCGTTTAGATACGGCGTGGGGAACTTTGAAAGCGTCATCTGTCCGGACATGATGCCCCGTACTACTCGGTGTTCAAGGACGGAGCTATGTGCATTTTTAAGTGTACCGTGCCGTAAAGAGGCGGGACAGCGTTCCGCCATCCTCTTAGACAGACGCCTGGTCGTGTGTCCGAGGTACCTGGCACTACAGGCGCGGGTGAACTGATATACGACATAAGATTCGGAACGATCCGGGAGTCTGTCTTTGAGGCTTCTAGTGATAAACGGAACATTTTCGGCAAGAAGGTGGACTCTTGCAGCCGGATAGGTTTGGTTCACAGCGACGGACAATCTTTTGTTCAATAACTCCTATGCAATATCTCCTTCGAATGGAACCAAAATGAAGACGTGCTTTTTCTTTACCGTTGGTATTTCTTTAGATTGATCAGAAACAGCAGAATGTTTGTGAGTCAATGTCGTGGGATAACCGTTGTTTTGTAGCGTTGTGAGAGTGAAATTCTTCTCAGCATCCAATGTTTCTGGACTACAGATTTTTTCGACGCGATAGTACAGGCAGCGCACAAGGTTTCTCTTGTATTTCATGGGCACAAAACTGGGGAAATCCGTGTACTGGACCATCCACGTAGACTTTCGGAATACTCTCTTCGCAAGCAATCTATCAGCTCGCCACCACAGTAGCACATCCAAAAATGAGATTTCACCGTCGTTTTCTATTTCACAAGTGAATTTTGGTGATGGATGCACACGGTTGAACTGGTCAAATAGGTGGAGCTGATCAATCTGTGGGTCGCATACGATGAACGTGTCATCCATGTATCGTCGATAGAAACCAAGAGACGCGATAAGGTTCCGAATAGGCCCGCACTCAATTTTTGCGAGGAAAAAGTCGACAAGAAGTTTCTTTGTTGTCAGGTTCATCGAAGTCTGACTTGGCTTACTTGGATTAAGAACGGCACGTTTATCATGTGGGAGAAGTAGGGCCACGACACGATGGACCTAGTGGTAGCACTGTTTTGCTGCAATGGGAGCGCTATTGGAGAGAATAAAAGCGTCCCGAGTGGAAAATCGGATTAGCCTTTGGGAATGCTCCCAGTCAATCCTTTGGATAAGACATTGGATAGTTGAGTCGAGTTTGATTTTCATTTCCATGTAGGAGGGGAGCCGTTGCATCTTATGGTCTCCCACATGGAGGTTAAGATGTCCGTTTGTTTGTCGGGGATCCCCAGCGTAAATATTCAATACACTAAGTTTGCCCACGTAGTTGGTTTGGTGACACCCTGTGTTCAGCACCAACAATGACAGTCGATAAGAAATCTCTGTGCTTAAAACTTGATGCAAACGTACATGCCTTCAACAATTCCTTTTCAGGCTTATACCATTATATGTGGAAAAAATAAAATGTTGGACACAACATGAAGTTTGGTAAGATACGTTCGGTTCGCATTTACTATCCAAGCATAAACACTATCGGTTAGGTCACAAGTGCGGCATGCACATAATTCAAGGAGCCGAATGTCGCTACTCGGGTGGGCCAAGGCGGTTTTAATCTCTGAACGAATCACTTCTGAGCAAACAACTCCGGCTCGTACAGTCGAATCGCGATGGCCTCAGCACATTCAATTAAACGCCTGCGGACG